CTCCTCCTCCTCCTCCTCCTCCTCCTCCTCCTCCTCTTCCAAGCCGAGCGAGAAGGACCCCTGGCTCCGAAGTGCTCGGCGTCAGTTCGTACTTTCGGTTCTCTAGCTTTATGAAATTAAAACTCATACAGCTAGATAACCAAAGACACAAACTAACCCGTCGTCTCTTAAAGGGGCCGCCTCTCCGATACAAACACACAGAGAGAATAGAGAGGAGAGAGAGAGAGAGAGAGAGAGAGAGAGAGAGAGAGAGGAGAGAGAGAGAGAGAGAGCCTGCCTGTGGTCACATTGCACTGAGAGCCCCGTCTCTCTCTCACTCACACACATATACACACACACACACACACACACACACACACACACACACACAGAAAGAGAGAGAGCAGCAATGTAGCAGTTCGGCATAATTCAAGCTTTTATATTTATCTATAGGCTGTTTACGGAGGTGAAATGAAGTTAAAACACGCACATGACTAGTTTGTCTCACGCACGCGCGCGCGCACACACACACACACACACACACACACACACACACACACACACACACACACACACACACACACACACACACTTTGATTGTCATTCTAGGCCCAATATTATAGCTCTTTAGTTGGCACAGTCTACCACCACCAAATTCAACTTTGCTCTATTGGCATCAAAATAATTAGTGTAAAAAAACAAAACAAACATGCTGTATCAAGTCATCACCATGACTGGATTTTGTGTTTGAGCAACATTTTTGTTTTGTACAGCATCACAAGTGCATGCAGCTCCAGGCCAGACACCCTACCTCGTCCTACAGCAACCACATCAAAACCATTTATTAATATACACACGTATTTTTTAGGATATGGTGTCGTCTTTTGTCAATATGGTGGGTTTACACTACTACATTTAAACAGGTCTGACAAACAAGTAAAGTTGACTTTACACAGCCTTTAGTTGTGTGGCTGTTGTGATGTCTAGTTTAATACAAACAATCGATAAGATGAAGGTAAAACAGAGAAAACACCCAACAGCCCTCTACACTGGGATTAACACTACTCCCACATCGACTAACACAGGCTATACATCCCACTTACTTGCACACCAGGCTAACTCCACTCCACTATACGGTCAATATCCTCCAACAATGTCAATCCCGCCTCGGATCTTTCCCTTTTAGAAGCGTCTGGTTTGATCGCACCCGACGAGAGGAAACAGTGTAAGAAAGTGAGAGAGTAGAAATGCTACAAAGTGTCCTATCATCTCGCTATGGAGCTCTGTGGAAACGACAGCGCGTCCTCCCCCTCGCACGCGCGAGCTGCGACTGTCAAGTGCAGAGTCCTCGCGGTGAACAGAGGGGATAAACTCCGCCTCAGAGAGAGAGAGAGAGAGAGAGAGAGAGAGAGAGAGAGAGAGAGAGAGAGAGGCGGGAATCTGAAAATATATAAGCCAATTTGAAAGTGGATGATGCAGGTGTGTGTCAATCAGGAGTTCATTCCCCCAATTATCTTCATTAGTGAGGCCGTAAAATACAGAGAGACGGAGCAGCGACTGACGTATTTCTAAGAGCAGACTGAGGTTGATGCAAATGGAGCTGGATCAAACCTGATATGTGGGGAGCAATAGTTGTAAGAAATTATTTTAACTTCTCTAAATGTATTCTTTTTTTTTTTTTTAAGAGTTTGTAAAATGAAGTACCTCTCAGCTCAGCTCTGTCCTTCCTATACAGATGCAGAAGATTTCTAATCCTTTTCAGACAGTGTAATGGGAGCACAAACTTTATAAAATCCTTTTAATCCTTTACAATATTCTGCAGATTCTGCAGGGATACACTGGAGGAACAAAATAATCTTTAAAGACCTTCTTAAGCTCAGAGCTGAAATGTTATTAGATAGAAATCATAAGTCAAAGAAGCCTTTTCAGATCATTTAAAGAAGCCAAACAAAAGAAAAACTCAGAAAAAAACACCCCTTAAAAGCCTTAATAAGACGAAGTTATGTGAATTTTTAGCTCTCCTCTGTTGTTCACGTTATAAAATGCTAAACATGTGATTAAATGCATCTCATGGGAACAGTATTGAAATAATTAGGCTAGCTGTCTGCGTTCTCCTTACTTTATCATATGACCTGATAATGGCTGCTTTATGCATTTTTTCCCCCATGATTGTTACATTAACACTCCAAGTACAGGCTACCTACAATAGCCCTGTTAGAGCATTTAAACCGAATCCTCTGATCAGTGTTTCTTCACGGGTGCAGGGGCTTCATAAAGGAAGGGAAAATGTTGCAGGAGCTCTGGTTTTTATTTCAATAGATAAAAACTCGCTGTACAGGCGCCAAGCAGAGGAATTCGGGGTTTCTGTCCTTGGTGCAGAAAAGGCCCACGCCTAGCCAAATCCTGATAGCATATTCAGGCTATATTCAGCCTTATCGAGTGCGATATTATGATATGAGTGATATCTGGGCTGAGGAGATGAGATAGTGAGCACGATTACAATCACACCCTTTGATATAAGAAGCCAGTGGCAGAGACAAGACCCGAATAGCAACTTGCAATATCTCCCAAAGTTTGAAAGGATATTTAAAAAGGTGTGTGTGTGTGTGTGTGTGTGTGTGTGTGTGTGTGTGTGTGTGTGTGTGTGTGTGTGTGTGTGTGCAGGTAAACCAATAAAAGAGCAGGGAGCTACAGTCCCGGTTTCCAAACCAAGCTTGCATCTGATAGCAGTTACATATCTGATTATTGCGCATGGGCAATCTGTTTGTATCATGGAGGTGCAGCTCTCCTGTCAGACTGCAGCACAGGTCCAGCTCTACTGTGTGAATCCTATTCTATTCTGCATCATTTATAAGTAGATCTAATCAGCTGTGGCCTCTGCTGCTGTCATCCTGTAATTGAACTAACACCACGTAGAGCTGTTGGCGAGAAAAGCGGGAAGCCCTGCACATTTAAAAAAAATAAAAATAAAATAAAAATCACTGTTGCAACATTAGCATGAGAGCGGTGTTCATTTTCATTGGATGCACAGTCCTCGTTGCTCCTGAGCATGCGCGACCGAGGAGTTGGAAGACACGTGCAGCCCTATATTACATTTACTTGAAAACTCTTAACTTAATATTGATTGTATTCCTATATAGAAAGATACACATATAAATGTTCCCACAGGCGTCATATCCACATTAACAAGTCAAGAATCTGTGTGAAAATAGCCCATAGTTCTTCTGCAATAGCTGCATTGGGCTAATTGTTTTCTTTTTTTATCACTAAAATAAAAATATTTATATGCCAGAGAGAAGCCCTATTAGCCTACAATTTTTTTAAAAACTATTTTGGGCGTGTTTTGCTCAAATATTAGGCTGTATGTTCAAAAAAATCATGCTAAATTATAAGGCTATTAATTCCTGGCGATAAACTGCATTCAGGCAACTGCAGTAAAGGTTCAAAAAAATCTGTTGAACGAGGTGTGTGTGTGTGTATGTGTGTGTGTGAGTGCGTGTGTCAGATGGATTTTCCCACAAACAAGTGACAGGGAAAATGTACCCCCCCTCACAAAAAAAAAAAAAAAAAAAGAGAGAGAGAGAGAGAAGAAGTCAACATCAAGTTCAACAACGTGCCGGAGAGAAATTTACATAACAATCAGGTCTGGGATCCTCGAGGTCCCCCCACCCTGCACAACAGAGTCTGGCGTCAGCCCCGCTACACTTTCCCAGGCTCACAACAATATCTCCCTGCTGAACTCTGCACTGCAGCGCTGCCTGGGGCCTCCTCCTCCTCCTCCTCCTCCTCCTCCTCCTGCTCCTCTACTACTACATGAATACTTCTCACATGAGCACATGGCAGCGGAGAGCCTCATTAAATATTCCAGAGTTTGCAAAAACTTCTTTCTATTACCTTGCTCTACATGACGACAAAAATGAGTCTAAACATTGGTTTAGCTTTTTCTGATGACTTAAAGCGAGTCAATGATGCTCCAGGGGCCTTATCGTACTTTATTGTATTTATAATATGTTATTTCTAGCCTGTAATACCCCTGTATTACTGCTGTTACAGTCTGCTCACATTCTCAGCTGATATTAGCAGCAAAATATCAGTAAATAAGCAGGAAAAGGCAGATTTTTAAAAGGAATATGAATCCATGGGTTTTTCTAAATTGTTAGTGTATCATAACCAAACTGCACATAATGTTTTTTTTAACAGTCTCTTATTCAAAGATGATAACAGGAAACTTTAAATAAATTAATAAATAAATACAAATCAAGCAAATTAACGTGCACCATGTTGCACCTACATCAGTGTCAAAATATTAAAGGCTACTTACAAATTTCCCAAGTTCAGTCCAGTAATTTGCTCCACACAGATCCTCTGGATTTAGAGAACAGGCCTACGTAATTTATGCATAATTATGCTCCAGTAATGGCTCCTTCTTCTTTTTGCACTCCATCCAAATAAACTGATATTTAAAGCAAGACAGAGAGGTGTCTACCGCCTATCCTGCGTCCCAAAGGTGCACGGCATCGCCTGCTATTAAAAGCTATTTTTCTTCTAATCTTAAAAGTATTTTTTATTGCTGCATTAACGGATAACTGGCTACCATAATATGTGGAAAAATCCTCTCTTACCGGATAAAGCGGGTCAGACAGGAGGAGTGGGAGAGCTGCGGCTGCAGCCGGCGAGAGAGGCAAGGGGAGGGAGGGAGGAGGAGGAGGATGGTGATGAGGATGGAAAAGGAGGAGGAGGGAATAGAGCCGGCTCAGGGCCTATCAAATTTGTCAAACAGGCCCTATAATTTTTTTTTTGGGGGGGGGGGGGGGGGGGGGGGGGGGGGCATATAAAACATCGTGAGAGTCGGTTGTTGCTGGTTTTATTTTGAAATAAGAATCAGAGTCACATCGACAAAATCTGCTGCTGCACGGATTATAGCCTCAAAAATGTGTTGGTGTAGTTGTGAATAAGGTGGGTAATGTTTGACCCTCAGATCACAATTATAGACGAATGTTACCACCGAGTTAAAGGCTTGTTTTTTCTTTAGGAAAGCATTACACTCATTTGTGTTACTTATCTCAAAATACGTTATTTTAAAGAACCAAAATTGCCTCATTAGTATAATGTACAGTAGGATTTATTGATTCAAACGTAATAATTTTTATATACGCCTAAAAGGAAAAAGGAATCTTGTTATTTAATCTCCTTATTCCTAGACTCACAGATCGATAGAGTGTATAGATATGACAAAGAATGCAAAATCGCAGGAGATGCCATAGATGACTGTCGTCTTGTTTGAGGGTAACATATGGGCTGTAGGTGCTATAGCCTATGATAAAATAGAAAAGAAAATAATCCAAGGCACTGTATGATATATGTAGCTCCTTTACAATAATGCATGCTGGATGTACAGGGGTTTACCGCCTGTTTATGATCGACCTATAACAGACAAGCTGTTTTACATTGGAATAATAAATGCATTACAGATATTGCTAGCTGTTTCTCACCTGTAGACCAACAGATTGTGACTGTTTCCAGAGTAGGAGAAATGAATTTTAACGAGTTAGATCTTAAAACCAAACGACATGCTGCAGGCTCCTGCCTCGTTTTAAAGGCCGTGTGTGTGTGTGTGTGTGTGTGTGTGTGTGTGTGTGTGTGTGTGTGTGTGTGTAAACTAGCCAAAGAAATAAAGTATACAGTAAAAATGCATCCACTACAGGGCGAAACAGCGACACACGTTGGTGAGAAGAAACGAGATCACCTCGTAAATGCTGTTTATGTACAGTGAGACTATAAATTTGTTTTTAAGGATACTTATTAATTGCATAAAGCTTGTTTTTGTTTGTTTACACATAAAAAGATAGAAAATACAAGAACAGGTCGTGAGAAACCTGGTATAGACAAACTGTAGGCTTATATTTACTGAAATCTTAATATAGGCCTATGAAAACATACAATTTAATGATCAATCCTCTCCTTCATAGTATAAAAATGTATCATTTCATTACAAGAAAATGTTACTTATTGGAGAGTTTATACCATTATGAAAACAGTAAGAAACTGAAGCAATAATCAGTAACCAGCTTTACTGTAGCCTAATAGTAAATGTGGGCAGATGGTATTAAATAGGCTAGGTTTACATTAAGTAACATTACAGATTACAGTAACATTTAGTGTTTATCACACAAGTTAACCTGTTGAAACTGAAACTGAAGAAAATGGTTGAAAATTAAAAGATTGACTGAAATACAGGTAAATATATTTCATACTGTAAAAGGTTTGTCATTGTCATTGTCATTGTCATTATCATTATTATTATTAACCTATTATTATTTTCATTATTATTGTTAGCAGTAGTGGTAGTAGTAGTAGTTGTAGTAACCCCGGCTGATAAACCATAGATGAGAAGTGTGACAATGTTTAATTCACATTATTTTTACTTTCTTGCCATTAAACACAACACAGTGAATAATGCCAGTCTGCTTTGATTAATTCAAAACTGAATTTATATTATATATTTTTTCCAATGCTTGAGGCTGGCATTTTGTTATTTTAGATACATCATATTCCTTATTTGTATTTTTAAAAAGCACAGTTCCTATTATTACAGAATATTGGACTAGATATTCTGTAGTACTATCTATAAAATTTAAAGGGTGCAAATATGTTAAATATTGTATGTTTGAATCATTAGTTTATACATATTCAGCTTATTTTGAAAAATTTGGAGAATTTTGAAATGAGATTTTATGTTGCGCTTGTTTTGTAGCAAATGTCTGTTTATCAACCAATTCTTCACGTTCTGATTTATTTATCTTTTGGTATCTTACTATAGACTTTATCCCTGATACTGGATCAGAAAAGTTCTCCACACTGTATATTCATTGAATACATATAACAGGGGAAATGAATTAAATGGTACATGACAGTAGTGACATACGTATGCTCCCTGAAAACACTTTAACTGAACTCTGTTTAGGTTTCCTGTATGATACATTTGTACAGAGCTAAATCTATGATAGAAAAGTATTGTCCTTTTGAATTTTTTGTTATGATCAATCACAAAGAAATTAAGCAGAATTTATATTGTATTTTAACTTTTAAATATATGAAATATATGTGATGGTTGTTTAAAAACAATATTGTCTAATCTTAAATTGGACAATACCAATTTTACTAAAGAAAATATTAACCACCATATTAATTTTTCCTCATCTTTGGCAATTTTGTGTATATATATATATATATATATATTTATTTATATATACAATATATATATATATATATATATTGTATATATATTATATTGTGTCTGACTCTTAAGTCAATAAGGTGAATGAGAACGATCAGTACCAGAAATATGTACTGTATTGGTGTCAATTTTTCATATTAAAGCTAACAGGCCTCATCTCACACTGAATCCAATCTGTTTTTCTGTGTAAGAAGAATTTAGATATGAAGTCATCTAAGAAATACAAATAGATTTAAACAAATCAATTAATCTATTCTTTTTTATAATTACTGGCATTTTTTTCCATTATTTTAAGTATTATTTATTTTTACATTAATATAGACTGGGGTTTCAAGTGAATACATTAGTTTACCAATGACACAGAACATTTACAGTGTTTAAAATCAGTGAGATTGTGTTTTTAAAGGTTGACAGACAGGACTATCTCTTGTCTGTCAACCTTTAAAAACAGAGTCTCACTGAACTTGGTAAATACAAGATTAAAAATAAATGAAGAGAAGATTCCTAAACATTGCCCAGTGTTTATAATGAACAATAATATAATGCATCGTTGTACATTTTTTTCTATGAGAAATATATTGAAAATAAAGTTGATATAAAGTTGGAGTCAGTATTGTCACATTTACACTATAAAAGGCCACAAAATATCCAGAGAAATACAACTGCTTAATGCTCAGAGCATGTTAAGTAAGTTTGTTATTGAAACAAATTGGTGGCCATTAGTCTGCTGAATAAAATTAGCTAGGGACACAAAAAGGTACAGACTTCTTTATTCTCAGTGTGGTCATGTTACTTCTAGCTAAAGGTCTAAACTCTCAGAACACATACTGGAAATACATTTCAACAAAAAATTATCTATTTTTTTTTTAAACAGGGCAGTTTATATTCTAAAAGGATGCTAAAAAGCTATTATGGTAACGACGAGGCAGTACAGAATTATTTTACAGTAGCATAGTGTCAGAGGACATGAAACACTTTTAAGACTTTACACAGAATCACGAATAATTTCCCTCTGTTACCAGCCACAGTGTTAAAAAAAAAACTTCACACAAATGTTTTCATCAGCATTACACAACTATTGCTAATAAAGGGTTAGCAAAAGTTGTGTGAATGTGTGTATAAATTGAGAATAAACTTCTTACCACAGCAGGCTCCCGCAGAGACCTGTTAATTCCTCCTCGGCCTGGTGTGAAAGAGGGAGAGAGAGCCCGAGCCCTCGTGCCTTAATTTGAAGCAGGCTGGGTTTTATGATAATCAGAGCTGACACCGACCTGTGCGCCGTGAATAGAGGAGGGCACCCTCGAGCCTGCGTTCCCACGAGCCGCATTCCTCCGGTCAAGTTCAAGCTCAAAGCGCGAGCCACCATTACTATGCGAGGCGTGCCGCGTGGCTAATTCCAAAAAGGCGCGCGCTCCCCGTCGTGGGAGAGTTCGTCACCTTGAATTCAAATGCAGCTGTAGATAGATGGATGGATAGATGGATAGATGGATAGATGGATAGATAGATAGATACATAGTGAGGTCATTAACATTGAATCAAATATCAGAAAAAAGAGGCTGCTGTTTGCTGTGTTCACTTTATATACATAAATAGGCCTAAATAAAAACCCACATTCAAAAATTTCATTTTCATTCATTTTCTTGCAAACGAAAAATTACAATGTTCCTGAAATAGCTACAGTTTTTCCTTTTGTGTCTCCATTTGAACATTTATCAGGCTATATACCTTTTCACACAAACAAACCTTTGTCTGTAGGATTTGCTTTGCCTTTCTTGGTGTAGTCTTACTCATCATAGCAGGCCTAAATATGAACAAAAAGCAGACACCGCCCACACTTGCTCACATAATACCTATTAATTATTTCCACCTATTCTTTCTCATTTGATTTAATTTTCTTCTTTAAATGGCAGCTCCTGCAGCCAACAACAATGAGCATATTGAATTTTTACTGGAATTAAACTGAAAATCACTGGCTTAAAAAAGGTAAAAGAAAAAAAAAAATCAAAGCTTTTACCGAAAATGATAAGAAAAAGTTAAGAATAATTTTGTTAATCTTGTACAAACTACAGGATTTATCAACATTAATGAATGGCTGAACACTTAGAGGAGCCAGAAAGAGCTCCTTTTAGGCAGTTAATTACTGCAGCCATGCCTCTAGACAAATATTAGAACATATGTTTATGAGTATAAGACGTATGAATGGGCTGTTGACTAATATCATGTCTCAAGATCTGTGAGTGCATTTACTTTGACCTCCAGTGACAAGACAAAAAAACTTTATGCAAGAAGCACATTCACTCTGGCAGTTCCAGCATTGTATTTATGGAAGATCATATATTTTTATATGTTTTATTATGTAT